CAGTGAGCTCCCAAAAGGCCTCGTGCTAGATGGATACGGGCATGTACATATAAGGCACATCACCCCCCTCTCCGTTGGTCGATGTGGGATCTTACATTCGGTATTAAGGAAGAGCTTATAACAAGAAGATTTGTGTTTAATGCGTTGAAGATTGCAGCTCTCAAGTCCCGCTACCAGTACCACTGTGCCAAATCCTACACGTGTTGAAGTTGTATCAGCAATCATTTGGAAATGTGCAAGGGATGCATCAAGGCTAAACTTGGGGTCAGTGAGGCCCTCTTCGTGGTGTCAAACGGTGAACATGAGGAAAATACTTTTGTCAGGACCCTTGGGAGATGAAGACTTGTTGGGAAATTTTGTAGGGTTGGTTGCAGCACAGACAAAAGAAAGTGAAGCAGATCATGATGATCTTCAAAGCTTGGTTACTAAATTGAGGAAGGGACTTGAGGAGTTCAAAGAAAGGTATAGTAATGGATCTAATGGGGCGGATTTTGTCAAGACTTCATGGAGAATGTGAACCTTATGAAGAGAGACAATATTGACAGCTGTACTTGCAGCAGTTGGTGCAGATTTCCGTTATAAGAATCGAATTTTGGATGGGGAAGCCAGCATGGGTCTTCATCCCTAGTATAGATCAAAAGAACCTAACTGTATTGCTGGATGCAAGAGATGGCCATGGAATTGAAGCCTCCTTAACTTTCAAGGAAGAAGACCTGGCCATATTTGCAAGCAATGAGTAGCTGCTTCAATATGCAACTTTGAATCCGACTGTATTTTAGTAGCCCCATAATTTTTATTTTTAAAAGGTCCTCTTGAGCTTACACTACAAGAAAAACAGGTATTAGTGGCCACCCACTTGGTCACAGAAACTACCCTTTTTGGTCACTGAATGCAATCAGTGTCCAAATATTGGTGGTCACTGGGTGGTCACTAGAAGCTCGTCACAAATTCTACTTAGTGGCCAATATCAACTATTGGTCACTACAACACAAAGAATTAGTGGCTATCCCTGTCTGGTCACTAATAAAAACGCTATTAGGGACCACAACTTTGGTCACTAAAGGGCTTACAATTTGGTCACCAAAACATGCAATTTGGTCACCAAAACATGCAATTTGGTCACCAAAACATGCAATTTGGTCACCAAAACATGCAATTTGGTCACCAAAACATGCAATTTGGTCACCAAAACATGCAATTTGGTCACCAAAACATGCAATTTGGTCACCAAAACATGCAATTTGGTCACCAAAACATGCAATTTGGTCACCAAAACATGCAATTTGGTCACCAAAACATGCAATTTGGTCACCAAAACATGCAATTTGGTCACCAAAACATGCAATTTGGTCACCAAAACATGCAATTTGGTCACCAAAACATGCAATTTGGTCACCAAAACATGCAATTTGGTCACCAAAACATGCAATTTGGTCACCAAAACATGCAATTTGGTCACCAAAACATGCAATTTGGTCACCAAAACATGCAATTTGGTCACCAAAACATGCAATTTGGTCACCAAAACATGCAATTTGGTCACCAAAACATGCAATTTGGTCACTGAAACTGAGTCACGTGCCCACATTAGTGACCTGCTTGCTTGGTCACTAATGTATTTCAAAAAATTGGTAACTAATTAGGTTTACCTCTCCATGTTCTTTATTTATTGTATTACAATATGAAATCACTATTAATTTCTTTTAAACAGTGCTGTAGATAAAATTTATAGCATCAAATAATTCATTGCGTTCAAAAGCAATCCATATATCTAACATTCTTCCAACAAATTCACAAGATGTCTCAAAAACAAAATACTAGATATTTAAGTTCAACATAAATGTCAAGTGATTCCCAAAAACAAATAACATAAGATTCATCACTAGTAGATTGTCTTCTACCCTTTATCCATCAGATCTGCATCAAACAAAGAATAATATCAGTTCTTACTTGGGATGCACTAAACTGGGAATTAAGTATATTGTGCAGTTTGCAAAATTATATTGTAGTAAGATGAGAGTTATAAGCTAACCTCATTGATGACGAAGTCGAGGATAACTGCTGCAGCAATCTTTTTACTAGTTCATCCGTCTCATTTTGCCTTGCCTGTAAACCTGCTAACTGATACTTTTGTGCAGCAGAATTCTCCTTCATTTCTGTTAACTCATTTGCTAGAAGCATACATTGTTTCTCTGCATCATCAGCCCTTTTAGTTGCCTCATCTGCCCTTCTTTTAGCCTCCTCAACTGTTGCATGACTGCATTGTCCAGCTTTAAATGTTTTGGGTTTCGGACCTGCTCCTAGGCCACGTATATAACCCGACTTAGGTGGACCAACAACTTTAGAAAGAACTGAGTCATATATTTCATCATCAGACATCAATTCAACAGATTCCTCATCTGTTTGTGGCAGGTTCTTCAGCTTTTTCATCTCATCCTACATAGTACATTTACATCATGTTTATGTACAATAAAGCTCAAAGGATCTGAAAAAGCTCAAAAGCAATAAAGACTTACAAAAGCATTCTTGGCATCTTCGCCAACCCATGTTGTTTTCTTTGTGCTAAATCTGGTGAGCTGAAACAAGTCTATGCCGCTAGGTTCTTCTCCAGTTTCAGAATTTCTCTATTTCATGTAGTCATAGACCACCATCATGTTATTTAGAAGTTCCATAAATTATAACTAAAAAAAATTTCAATGTAAGAAGATTGGAAGGGTCAAATGAAGCTTACATTTTCATATCTAATACGACTAAAGGCCTTTGTCCCAGCACAATGTGTGATCTTCAATTTCTTTCTATTTTCCTTATTTTTTGCACTACTTTTCTGCAAAAATAAGTATTAAAAGTAATGAGGAGCATTAGATGTATAACTAAACTAAAAGTAATGAACACCAATAGGAGGAACTAGATACCTTCCACTCATCTTTTTGCCATAATTGAACTAGATAGTTCCAATCATCCTCTCCCACTGTTTGAGGTCGATTTTCAAGTGCCTCCTCGGATCCATATGCTAGAAATTTCTGATGCAAATTGTAACGCCAAGTGTAGTATCTTCTCTTCATGTGATCCTCAATAGCCATATTCACATGAGGTTCATTGCTCAAATTGAATTTCTCCTAAAATTTTAAAGTTAACCATAAAAAAAATTAAACATGATTTAGGAGCCAAATACCTCACAGAAAACATAAGCAATGGACAAACAAACAAACAAACAAAGTTATTATGACACCCACCAGCAAGTTTAAACAGGCAAGTTAGCTTAAAAAATAGAGAATGTAT